GTGAATGGACCAGTTCCTGTGAGTTCTACTTCCAAGTCGATGCGACTTCCAACACAACCATTCAACAATCGATTTTTTAAATCTTTAAAAGCGGCATTAGGTTTCGGGTGTACAGTTTGAGAGAATTTATGATCTATTTTAACACCTTCACGATAAATGGAATCCGTCAAACGGAAAAATCTATATTCGTATTGTCCCGAAGTAGTTGGCTTAATAATCATTGAATGTCTTGACTTTTCAATTTTTACATAGTCCTTTTTTTCTTTATTCTGAGAGATTATTGAATATTCGATATGCCTAACCAAATATTGTTTAATGTATAAAGTCATGAAATATCGTAGAGATCAATTATATTATAATCAAAGCTTACCATGGCGGAATTCCAGTTAACGAAAGGATTACTTCAACACCCACTTCTCCAGGACAATCATCTGCGGGTATAGGAATGGCATCTAACTTGACGGTTGGTGGATGAGCGAGAATCACATTCTTAAAGGAAGGTGCTAAAATTTGGCCAGAACATTTGGAATCTGTTACTGAAAGAAGCCTGTACATTCCGGGTTTTTGTACTTTAATCGCATTTTCTGTGTCCGGGTTATTTATAATTATATCAAATTCTTCGATTGGTTTGATGATTGCATCGTCACTTTCAGCAATGTCCTCAGGCCAATACCCAAGTTTAACATTCCATGGTTCTAATTATAGAAACAAATTGATTAACAAATTATTACATGCTTGAATATTAAAATAATTAACATTGATATTTGCCTTGGCCCTGCAAGTCTAATGAAATTTTAGCAGATTGTTTAGGGCGAAGATATATTGATGAGTCAGAAAAAAAGCTTGCAGTAGGTCGTGTGTAAACTGAAAACCTAACATTAACATTGGTGTCTTGATCATTTTTATAAATAACTGTATTATTTAATACATCTTGAAGCTGTAAAACTTTCAACCAATAATCCGCAACAAATTCAGCAGAAAGATTCAACCGAACCTCGGTTAATTGATCACGAGCCCACTGATAATTTCCAGATGATGCCAACATCGCAGCTTCTTGATCTGATCTAATTGGGGGAGAAATATAATGCTCAGGACCGATACTGTCTATAGTCATATTAAGTGCATAGTTGTTTATTCTTCTTTCATAGATCACGCTTAAAGGGGGTACACCTTGCAACATTAGGTCAACGTGTATTTCATCCTCAACGCATAGATTTGAACTTGATTTTAATACAAATTTTGCCATTGGACAATATACTATAGTTACATCTCTTTTATATATCTTTATTCCCATTCCATCATGATCTAATGCCTCTTCAAGTTGATATACACCCGGCTGGTTAACTGGAATATTTACATATTCTAAATGATCACCATGAACTACATCGGTCATACGATGCTGTTCGATCTCTTTTGAATAAACATCATGCATAGTTCTATCACCCGTTTCAAAATCCAATCTTGAATAACGAATTGAATTTGGTGATGTTTTATTGAATAAAATTAATAATTTAATTGCGGGCTTTTTCCTGGAATTTGATCTTGGTAAACATAGCTTATCATCGTCCGGATTCAACTTGGCAGTAGCATAAGGTAAAAGACGTACACTATGCTTGCCGACTATGTGAGATTGATTATATCTTACAACTATAATTTTAAAATAAATTCTATTAATATTCGTAATAGCGATTAATGATCTAAAATCAGAATATAATACCGTCAATTAAAATATCTTCTTCTTTGCTTATTGCACGGACTTTCTCGCCTTTTAATCGGATATATTGATTCCGTACTAATG